CCCATGGTACGCAGACGACTCTAAATCGGCCCGAATGAAATTAAATTTATCGTAGGTTGCAGAAAGACATTAGAATGTTCCTGCGAGGTAACATTGCATGCAATTGTAAGGATACGTATGTACAACATACCCAAAGTGGTGACGGGTATCATATAGTAGGTCCAGTCCGACTTTACTACTTTCCTTACTGGTTTTAAATATAAGTCATATTTGAAAAATTTTATATAACAATTACTTGTTTCAAACTGTTAACATGAAATGAAGATCATTATGACAGATGGAACTGGTGATTGTAATGAAAGTGAAAGCGTACTAAAATGAGTCTAGAATGGTCCGACATCTGCAACAGGGGCCAATAAGATCATTGTATTCAATGATTATCCAAAGAGTAAAATGACAGCCATTTGGTTAAAATACGTGGCAGAACTTCCCAAAATATAAATCATTGGGATGTAACGTTAGAGTGGACCAACCCTAAAAAGTGGACTAACATTGATAATTTTAGCAGAAAATTTTCCACCCAGTGGGTAACAAAAATACCAAAATATCTGATTAGTTAAAAACTGAAGAAAAGCCCTAAAATACAAAATTTTGGGGTATAGAGGTATGGGGGCTACAGTAAGCGTGGATTTTATAAAGAATATTTTCTCAAGGTATAGAAGAGCCATAAGCGTGGATTTTATAAAGAATATTTTCTCAAGGTATAGAAGAGCCATAAGCGTGGATTTTATAAAGAATATTTTCTCAAGGTATAGAAGAGCCATAAGCGTGGATTTTATAAAGAATATTTTCTCAAGGTATAGAAGAGCCATAAGCGTGGATTTTATAAAGAATATTTTCTCAAGGTATAGAAGAGCCATAAGCGTGGATTTTATAAAGAATATTTTCTCAAGGTATAGAAGAGCCATAAGCGTGGATTTTATAAAGAATATTTTCTCAAGGTATAGAAGAGCCATAAGCGTGGATTTTATAAAGAATATTTTCTCAAGGTATAGAAGAGCCATAAGCGTGGATTTTATAAAGAATATTTTCTCAGGGTATAGAAGAGCCATAAGTGAAGAATATTTCCCAAAGGTTACAAGGGCTATAAGCGTGAAATTTTAACGCATATTATCTGAATGTACGTCAGAGCTATAAGAGTTGATTTTTAACGAATATTCTCTTAAGGTATATCTGAGCTTTATGGATAAAAGATTTAAAAATATTAAGCAAATTCTAATATAAAGAAATTTAAAATTCATCCGCCAATCAATTGTTCCTCCGCCAATGTCTAAGTTCCCATAAAATTCGCTTTACAATTGCTAAGTATTATATTCTTATGTTTTATGACCTAAAATCTCATTGTTATCCTTGCCATTTGACATTTTATTTAAAACAATCGCTCATACAAAATACCCATTACGAAAATTTAATTTATGGCATACAAAAACAAAAGCAAACAAAAACAATTACATGGTGCCACTAGCCCCCTAAATTACAATTTGTTACAAATGTTTCCCGAGATGCATTTGGAAAGTAATTTATCCAAATAAAATGACAGCAATTAAATATATTTTTTATTACATTTGATTCTTCTAGCGCCTCGTCTTCTTCTTCTTCTTTCGGTGGAGCGTCATCTTCAATTAGCTGAAAGTAATTAAAATGAAATGCTATTTTTCTTTTGTTTGTGGTATGTTCTTTTGGGTGGTAAGCGGGAAGAAGCGGCGAAGGCCTCGATGTACATCCCACAAAATGGTTATACAACTTTCTCATTGCTAAACGATGATTTAGATTCTAAACTCTTTTTGCCAAATGTAATCGGACAACAAAGATGTAGGCCGGCGAGGACGACGACAATGACGACGTCGTCCACGTCGTCGTCGACGACCATATAGAAAAAGCCTTTGGAAATTATTGCATTCATCCGTTGTAAATCAGCAATGAGAAGGCAAACTGAGTGTAACAAATTAGGCTCAAAAGGAATAAATGAATAAAACAAAAAAAGTCAACAATAAAAAAAAAAGAACAGCAGAGTGATGTGGAACAGGGTTACCAAATGGAGAATGTATCTACCAATAATGTCGGGTAATTGCTTTCCAATTTCGCTAAAGTGGATCTTTAAAGAATATTCTCTGAAAGATTTTGAGAGATACAAGCATGAAAGTTTTTAAGAAAACATGTTGGCGATTTTCAGACCAGAGCCATAGGCCTGGTGGTTTTCATAAGGAATTTCTTCTCAAGGATTAGTAGAGCTATAAGCTTGGATTTTTAAAGAATACTTCCTCAAGGATTATAAAAGCTACCAATCATAGATTTTTAAAGACTATTTTCTTTAGGATTATTAGAGCTACCAAATGTAGGAATATTTTTTCAAGGATTATCAGAGCCATAAGCGTGGATTTTTCAAAGAATATTTTTTCGAGGATTATCAGGGCCATAAGCGTGGATTTTTTAAAGAATATTTTCTCAAGGATTATCAGAGCCATAAGTGTGGAGTTTTTGAATAATATTTTCTCAAGGATTATCAGATCCATAGGCGTGGATTTTTTAAGAATATTTTCTCATGGATTTTCAGAGTAATAAGTCTAGATTTTTAAAGAATAGTTTCTCGAGGATTATCAGAGCCATAAGCCTGGATTGTTTAAAGAATATTTTCTCAAGGTATAGCAGAGCCATACGCCTGGATTTTTAAAGAACATTTTCTCAAGGACTATCACATCCCTAGGCGTGGATTTTTTAAAGAACATTTTCTCAAGGACTATCACATCCCTAGGCGTGGATTTTTTAAAGAACATTTTCTCAAGGATTATCAGAGCTACCAGGCGTGGATTTTTTAAAGAACATTTTCTCAAGGATTATCAGAGCTACCAGGCGTGGATTTTTTAAAGAACATTTTCTCAAGGATTATCAGAGCTACCAGGCGTGGATTTTTTAAAGAATGTTTTAACAAGATATAGCAGAGTTATAAGCGTGGATTTTTAATGTATATTTTCTCAAGGTATAGCAGAGCTATAAGCGTGGATTTTTAAAGTTTATTTTCTCAAGGTATAGCAGAGCTATAAGCATGGATTTTTAAAGAATATTTTCCCAAGGATTATCAGAGCTACCAAGCGTGGATTTTTTAAAGTATATTTTCTGAAGGTGTAGCAGAGCTATAAGCATGGATTTTTAAAGTATATTTTCACAAGGTTAGCCGGGCTTTAAGCGTGTATTTTTTAAGGAATATTTTCCCAAGGTTAGCAGAGCTATAAGTGAAGATTTTTTAAAGAATATTTTCCCAAGTTTAACAGGACTAAAAGCGTCGATGTTTTAAAGAGTATTTTCCCAAGGTAAGCCGGGCTATACACGTGGATTTGTAAAGAATATTTTCCCAAGGTTACCAAGGTGGAATATTTTCTTAAGGATTATTAGAGCTATGGCTTTTTAAAGACTATTTTCTCAAGGATTGTTGGAGCCAAAATATGGATTTTAAATAAAATGTTCTCAAGGATTATTGGAGCAAAGGGCATGGATTTTATATAATAAAGATTATTTCTCTAACGCTTTTTAGGGCACTGCTAATACTCGGATAAATTTTGGAATGTTTTTCATCCGATATGCTGTAATTTGGGTTCTCATGAATTAGGACATCTCTCTACCACAAAGGATATTTTTTCAAGGATTTCAAGGACATTGCTAATATTCCTCAAATGTATGGTATGTTTTTCAGACGATATGCTGTAATTTGGATTCTAATGAAGTGCCACAAATTACAAACAGTGACCTAAGATTCGGTTTCAGTCGCTTTATGGATATTTTAATGGTCCTTCATGTATTTTCCGCCGAAGCCACTTCATAATGCCTGTGGCTGTGATTTGGTCTTCCGAGGCCTTGGTGGGTTAACAACTTGGTCGTAGAAAATTTGCATTTCCAGTTCAAGTGCAGTGCGGCTAGTTGGTATTGTTTTCTTCTGGCAGTAGTTTAACTCATATGGAAGTTCCGAAAGATTTAGGTATTTTGGTCCGGAAGCACTAAATGGCGTTACTTGTCTAAAATATATATATATATATATATATATAATTTTTTTCAGAACATTTTAATTCATTGGCAACACTGCTGTAAAATAACGAACGACCTATATTTTGTTTATCTGAACGCCTTTCATAGTTGTCTGCTTTGGCAACTAATTACAATTGAAAGCATTAGCGTTCTTTAACAAAGCGACGAAACTGACTTTGAAAAAGAGACAAATTAAACAGCGACAGATGACGCCCCATAGAAATCAAAAGTTTTTCATACTCCTGCCACAGGCCGCAATTTTGGTTATTTTTTTCGTTGCTCTCGTTTGTGAGTTTCGTGGTGGGAAAATAACGTTAACCCTTTCTCTTTCTTGAGTTGTATTGGCATTTTTTGTGGCGTGCCTGTCTGTCTGACAGCCAGGGTGTATTTGCCTTTTGCTATGCCCATTACAACATTGACACACAAATCCTTAAAGGACTTAAGGAATTTAAACAAAAGGGAAATTTAATGTCGTTCCCGTTCTTTAAACTCGTCCATGTCGCTTTTTCTCGTTATTTCGTATCATTTGTGTGTTTTGTTTTGCCTTTTATTTTTTCAACGGAATCTAAAGTCTTAGTTGTATTTATGTGCCGCAGTACATCCTGTCGTACTATGCGCGGCTGGCATAAAGGACGAACGTCACAAAAGACGTTAATGGCGTAGAGAAAAATTACACCCTCATTTATAAAAAACGGGCGTAATTAGAGCCAGCGTTCCTTGGCAAATACCAAATAGGCATTTAAATAGTGATGTCTGTAATTTGAGTTTTAAAAAATTACTGCAAATTAGGTTAAGGAAATTAGACCCTGAGAAAAAAAAACACACACACACAAACAATGAAAAAGAGAACGGGATAGCTATGATATAACTAATTCGTTTAGGAGTTCATAAATCACTGACTATTAAACACGAACTGACTTAAAGATATGTGCAAATGAATTGGCAAAAAAATGTCCAAAGTCAAGCGGAGGAGTAGAACTTACCTTTTAGCAAAGTCATCGAATTTAAAAGTTTTCTCCACAACATGTTCATCTGTGAAATGAAGAAGAAGAAAAAGTATGAAATTAGATTTAAAATGTAACTTTTGAGAATTTCTATAATAATTTTATTAACTTGTTTGATGTTTAATCATGGTTGTTATTAATAGAATCCAATGCTTTTCAATTAATTCGCAAAATTTACCTTCAACTTCTTCATTTTCTTCGTCATCACTGCGATCCGATTCTTCTTCGTGGTTTTCCTCGGGTTCAACTGTAATAAAATAGAAAATGACCGAATTAAATAATTAGTTAACTGGCTCAGAATGTCTCAAAAATATGTGTTTTTTATAAAATGATAAATTTTGGTTGATTGCATAAATATTATTCGAAAAAATAGATTTCGATAATCATAATTGAAACCAGTAAGGAAAGTAGTAAAGTCGGACTGGGCCAACTATATGATACCCTTCACCAATTTGAGTATATATATATCCTAACAGACGACGAGTTTTTGTTATATATCTATATCTGAACCGCCAAATGTCATACAATTCGGATCATAAATGCGACCTGTACTTTGCTTACAATTTAACATGGACAGACGGACGGACATGCATAAATCGACTCAGAAAGTGATTCTATGCATATTCTCAAAAGGAACTATGGGTCTATCGCGATTATTTTTGCCTGTTAAAAACATATGCACAAAGGCTGAACCACAGTGTGGTGAAGGATATAAAAATACATACTTCATGCTTCCCTGGAAATTGTTTTACTTTCCAACAATCTATAAAAAGGACGGATGCTATTCTGAGAATTCCTGTCGGTCGGTAATGTCGTTTTTACCCATTTTAATTCTAAACTGAATATCTATAAAGTCTACTATTATGTAGAGTCAGCGCCCCTATATGGATTTAAGTAGAGCATAGGTGTTTGTTTTAAATAAAATTATCTGAAACATTACATCTGAAACATTATCTGAAAAATATATTCCAAATTTGTATATCATGAAAGAAGTATTTTTATCCACCAGATATCCGATATGCTAAATAACATCCACTTCGGTGAGAAATGGGGCTAAAACTTTAACAATACAAACAAATGGATCGGGACATTTATATAGAGGCTGCATACTTTATATTCCTAACATTTTCTGCAAATATATTTTTCTACCTCCAAGAACCTGGAATACGAACAGCCGCTCGGTGAGAAAATGTGGCGAAAATCTTAAAAATACCGAAATTTGGTCGGAACCTTATAGGGGGGCTAAGTCAAAACAATGACGTATATTGATGATTTCAGCAAATACGGAATGACAAGTTACTGCCCCTTCGGTGAAAAATGTGAGTAACTCGTTGACATTATGTGTGAAACACTACATCATTTAAATGATTTCCACGCGCAAGCATTGAAACTATTGATATCATTTTCGAGCACTTAAAAAAAAAAAAAAAAATGGGAGGTATCTCATCGTTTATTCCATAACTTCACGAATTTTGACGTTTATGTGCTCAAAAGTTGAAGGATTATCTCCATAATTACGGTATATCGCATAGCTCTATGGAAAAGTCTAATGGTGTCAAATCTTGGTGACCAGGTGATATCGTCACGACGAAAAATTACGCTACCAGGAAATGTCTCTTGTATTAAAGCCATATTCGATTGAGTTGTGGTGTGGCTTGTGGCACCGTCTTGTTGAAGTCACATATTTTCCAAGTCCAAATTCTTCAATAGCAGGAAAAAATTGGATGTCATATGACCATGATGCTCCAAATTGACGTTATATCATCGTTTTCGATAAAATAAGGTCCAATCACGCCGTCGGAACAAAGAATGCACCTAATAGTGACCTTTTCTGGATGTAATGGTTTCTCCTTTATTTCTTGAGAATTCTCTGAACCCCTCTGAATCCAAAAATTGCTGACTACCGTACCAGACACACATTCCACGAATTTACGACGTTGTGAATGGTCAGCTGGTTTCATTTTTTTCGTGAGGTATATAAAAAATGCTCCATCAGCAATTGCCCTACAATATTTTTAATCGCTACAGCCTCTTCAACAGTCTTCAAATTTTGCCAATTGCTTCATTGTAGGAGTGCTAAGCAGACCGGTCACTTATAAAATAAATCGATCATATTAAATGTTAAGCAGACATTCTTGAGAAGATGTAGGTTTATATTAATATGAAAAAAATCGATTTTTCGAAATATGAGGACGAATTCTATTGAAATTGGAGAAAATGGAATCAAATTTAGATATAGCTCCCATATACATTTTCGTCCGATTTTATGTAAATGGTGCACTAACGCCCTTACATTTCGTTCCATTGACACGAAATTTGACACAGCGAGTTAAATTGAGATTAGAATAATGTGTCCTAAGTTTCCTTGAAATAAGTTCAGATTTAGGTATAGCTCCCATATATATTGTCGTCCGATTTTATTTTAATCGTATACTAAGTTCCCAATATATGCCCGATTAAGACGAAATTTGGAATACCATACGCCCTGGAGTCAATAAATATGTGTGTTAAGTTTCGTGAAAATCGGTTAAGATTAATTTCGTCCGATTTCATGTAAATGATGCACCAAAACCCCTATATTTCTTTCGATTTGCCCAAAATTGTGTACAGCATTTCAAATTGAGTAAAGAATGTGCTAATGAGCTAAGTTTCGTTGAAATCGGTTCGGACTTAGATGTAGCTCCCATATATATCATTTTGACCTATTTTATACAACTGGTGCACCAAAGCCCCTTTTTTTACTCGATTTACACGAAGTTGAAAACAACGTATTTATTTGAGTCTAGAATGATGTGTGCTAAGTTTCGTTGAAATCTGTTCAGATTTAGGTTCAGATATAGTTCGCATATAGTTTTCAGATATAGTTTGCATATATATTTATATTTAATATATATCCGATAACAAGCCAGTGGTCCCCCAGCGTTCGACAGGCTATTGTACATATGCGACAAAAATTATTAGTAAAGGACGTATGTTCTTGGTTAATATCTTATTGTAACTTAGGAGCATCTCTTTTATATACGTGAAGTGGTAATGGGTGCAAAACAGAACATTTTTTTCCAAAACTGTATAAGATGGGAAATAATGGTCCGATTCTTCTGTTACATTCCCACAAAGTGTCAATATTCTATAATTTCTCAAGAATGCAAACGAAGTATCATTTGTCAACATTTTTAATTATTTCCGGTTCAGTTTAGCACTATGAAACATAACTCCCCAAAATTTTTGGGATTTAACATTTTTTGTTATTCTGGTTTGTAATTGTCCTAAAAAATTAAAATTATTGTTCCATTTTTTATAAAGAACGTCATAAAAGTGCACCCGTCAAATTTCCGCATTTCTGGGGTAATTCTTCATTTATACTAGATTGGAAATCAATATCGACCCATGTTTTCATATAGCTCTATATAACTATGTATACAACATTACTCGGTAAATTGATTATTTTGGGCGCAGCATTCAAACGAATTGGCTTTAAGTTGAATATCGGCAATCCATGAATTACAACTTTCGGGCGATTTTTAGGCATTAGAAGCTGCTGAAATTTAGCGTTCCGAGATCTTGGTGAGTAAAAAACTATTTCACAGAACATTTTCGACTCATGTCCATGTTTCCACATAGCCCCGTCGTAGTTTTCGCTACACCCAAGGTTCTAGGCCGATCCCCAAAAATTCCAGCTGGATTTATTGTCATTTTTTCTTGGTTATTATTTTAAGTTCTTGTTCGTTAATAAAATCAAACATACATATTTACTTACCAAATAACTGATACATTTGTTTATTATATTTTTTTTAGCACTTAAATATTTAATCTTGTAATTGACAGTAAACAAAAGTTAACTTCTAAATGAACAAATATTGTAATTATTATTTTTATTGCAACAATAAAATTGCTTCCTTTCGAAATTAATATTTTTATTTTGTACGTAAAGCACAAATGGTCAGTCACCCCTTTTTTATGGACGAGAAGTGTGACGTCTAACTAATTGGACATCTGGACATTTATTTTGAAGTGACAAGGAAAGGGTTGCTGCTTGCTGCATTTCAATAAATACGACATATGACATGCATTACCCTCGCCATACGAAGACAATTGAATACAATAATAAAACACACCCTGTGTCAATGACAGAAGACGGTCGGTCGGTCGGAGAAGAAGAAAAATGGGTACCAAACCATCAAAAATGGGTACGATCAACCCTTTTGTCAATTGTAAAGTAAACAGAACAAATAATAAAAATAAAACACGGTCGTAGCGAACAAAACAACAAAGTGCATTTGACAAATCAACATATTGAAAGCGATGTCAATAATCTCATATATTTACGAGCCGAACAATGCCTGTCACAACAATTTGGCAATATAACTTCGTAACGCAAGCGGCACATAAAACAAACTTTTATTTTCTCTACCCAGTCCAGGGACAAAAGAAAGCTGAAAAAGAACAAAAATTGGAAACGACTGTCGAACAAAACAAAAAATTAACTGCATTGCAAAGCCATAAATACAGGACCGGTCTCAGCAGACTTGCAAGCATTTTTATATACATAGGGGCGGACATCAACCAAAACACAAAAAAAGTTTTGTATTTTTTTCAGTTTTGGTCCAGCTATAAGGAATTGCAGCCAACAACACTTGACTGAATGAATGTGAAAAGCCAATAACCAACCAACCAACAATGACGTCGTATAGACGTCAGACAAAACGGCTCGATATTTTTGGGCATTTTTATGTTGAAATTAAAAGTTGAGGCGGTAGAGGGGTGGACACCGTCTATTAAAGCCATAAATGGTGATATGACGCAGCAGCAGAAACAAATTGGGAATGGGTAAGAGCTAATATATCATAGATTTATAACAGTAGCTAATGGTTGCTGGCAAATAGACTTAAATAACTGTCCACCTACCTACTGGATGGATGCTAAAAGAAGATATTCGAAAAAAAAAATTGTCTAAAGGCGTAACACAAACTTTTTTCTGATGTCATTTATACAATTTTGTTTTGTTGGCCAAAGTACAAAAATGAGGTGATGGGTATTTTAACTCATCGCATTACATATTACTGGGAACATTTGCCGCAGGAGCTACAATATACATAAAATATATGAAATACAATACTCGAAAGCATTAAAACAAGAAAAAAATCTGTCGAAAATCGGTCGGAACTGACGCTAGTGTTTATTACAAGAAGTAACCTTCAATTCAATAAAGTCCAAAGGCGCAAAAACGCACGATTTAGGCGGCCAATTGACCGGTCCCGAACGTAAAACAAAATGTTCACCGGCGAGTTCGGTATATCTATCATTATATCCAATATATCTATCATTAGGCAAGATGTGTGGCATGTGTCGCTGGCATGATTAGGCGCTTCAGGTGAATCACGATTCGTCTTCTCTTGTCCCTTGTTCTAATTTCTACAAAGCCTTTAAGTAAACAAATTGCAGTGTACCATTGAGAATGGACGGCCCAACGTTGATCAAGCGGTGTAGTTGCCACGTGAACGATACAAGAACAAATATTCGACGATTTGACTCGAATTGCTTCTTCCATCATCCACTCTCGACTCATCTTCGGATATTCACACGGTCGATTATAGTTTTAATTCGGTCTCATAGGAATAATATTACGATGAGCACCACTATTGCTATTTCTTTGAAGCAAGCGGAAATATTCTTTCTTAAGCGATTGCCGAATCCAGCGGTGTGGAAGAAAGTCATCTACAAGTGACTACATGACATTAGTCAGGTGATTAAGCGGCCTACATGGACTTAAGATCATCGATACATTCTTGTCGTGATAGTTCACCTTAACATGTTCACAATAACATGAAAAAGGCAACTAGATTTTTCAGGTTTCTGTAAACAACACAACACATGCTCGTACGTCTAACCGTTCTGAGTACGTTTGTGTCATAAGAGGTCAAACATACCAATGGAAATGTCATACGGCGTCAATCAACACATTGCGTTCTGCAGAAATATATATTGAAGGCCTCGAATATTATTCGTTAAGTATAATATCCCCAAATATTTTACATCGGCCAGGTTATCTGGTGTTTACATACGACTCTTTTGTGTGTAATCGGTATATTTACAAATGTTAATATCCTCGAAGATAAGTTGACGTGTATATGTCCATGTATATTCTTCATCAGAATATAATTCTATACCCATTCAGTATTTTTCATCAGTACAATCAAGAAAAAAAGCGCAATGTTTAGTTTTCAGCAGAACAGAAGGACTTTCTAGACAAATTTTGTATAATAAAAAATACATAAATAATATAATTCCAGAGGTCCAGACTATTTTTTTATCAAACACCTGATATTCTTAGTCCTTAATCAACATCTGTAAAGAATTTCTGCTTCTATGTTTGTATAAATATTCTCTCGCCTACCGTTCTCTTCGACTCCCCTCGACAATCAAGACTTCCTTCAGTTCGTTGATAGACTTCCATCAGCTAATCTTTAAATACTCCCTGATTCCACTCGTCTACTAAGATAACCTGCCTCAGCTCGTCTATAAAGACTCCCTTCAGCTCGTCTATGAAAGACTCCCTTCAGCTCGTCTATGAAAGACTCCCTTCAGCTCGTCTATGAAAGACTCCCTTCAGCTCGTCTATGAAAGACTCCCTTCAGGTCGTCTGTGAAAGACTGCCTTCAGCCATTTGGGCTTCAGCTCGTCTATGAAAGACTCCCTTCAGCTTGTCTATGAAAGACTCCCTTCAGCTCGTCTATGAAAGACTCCCTTCAGCTCGTCTATGAAAGACTCCCTTCAGCTCGTCTATGAAAGACTCCCTTCAGCTCGTCTATGAAAGACTCCCTTCAGCTCGTCTATGAAAGACTCCCTTCAGCTCGTCTATGAAAGACTCCCTTCAGCTCGTCTATGAAAGACTCCCTTCAGCTCGTCTATCCCTTCAGCTCGTCTATGAAAGACTTCCTTCAGTTCGTCTCTGTAAGACCCGGTTCAGCTCTTCTATGAAAGACTCCCTTCAGCTTGTCTATGAAAGACTCCCTTCAGCTTGTCTATGAAAGACTCCCTTCAGCTGGTCTATGAAAGACTCCCTTCAGCTCGTCTTTGAAAGACTCCCTTCAGCTGGTCTATGAAAGACTCCCTTCAGCTCGTCTATGAAAGACTCCCTTCAGCTTGTCTATGAAAGACTCCCTTCAGCTTGTCTATGAAAGACTCCCTTCAGCTTGTCTATGAAAGACTCCCTTCAGCTCGTCTATGAAAGACTCCCTTCAGCTCGTCTATGAAAGACTCCCTTCAGCTCGTCTATGAAAGACTCCCTTCAGCTCGTCTACGAAAGACTCCCTTCAGATCGTCTATGAAAGACTCCCTTCAGCTCGTCTATGAAAGACTCCCTTCAGCTCGTCTATGAAAGACTCCCTTCAGCTCGTCTACGAAAGACTCCCTTCAGATCGTCTATGAAAGACTCCCTTCAGCTCGTCTCTATAAAGACTCCCGTTCAGCTCGTCTATAAAGACTCCCGTTCAGCTCGTCTATAAAGACTCCCGTTCAGCTCGTCTATAAAGACTCCCGTTCAGCTCGTCTATAAAGACTCCCGTTCAGCTCGTCTATAAAGACTCCCGTTCAGCTCGTCTATAAAGACTCCCGTTCAGCTCGTCTATAAAGACTCCCGTTCAGCTCGTCTATAAAGACTCCCTTCAGCTCGTCTATAAAGACTCCCTTCAGCTCGTCTATAAAGACTCCCTTCAGCTCGTCTATAAAGACTCCCTTCAGCTCGTCTATAAAGACTCCCTTCAGCTCGTCTATTTAACAAGTTTTTATCAGGATTTTGCATAATTCCGGTTTCTTGAAGCTTGGCAGACTGAAAATACTGACTTTTGACTTGTTAATTTATCAAATTTGGAAATTCTACCAACAAATGAAAGGTATTTCCAAAAACCTCATCCTGACGAAAAACTAGTAATAAACAGCATACACCTGTATATGTTTACTATTTGACTTTTGGGCTAAATTAAAATAACATATATAATATCCATAATAATAAAGAGTCAACAAATAATAGCCCCCGAACACACATACAATAAACGCAAAACCCAATATAACATCACTACAATAACATTTCGCAAATGTTCGCAATAAAACTTTTCAACATTTCCCCAAAACTAAAGACCATGTTTTTCCCCAAATAGTTTCACTTCTAATCAAAGTTTGTCTGTGGGTGGTTGCATATTTTATGTTTTGTGATATGCCTGTCCGAAAAGGTAGAACGAAATATTTATGTTTTGAATTTTTAATTTGCCAAAAGGAATCAAATATTTAAATTATGTTTACCAACAACTGTATCGACAACGACGTCGGCAAACAAAAAAACAACAATAAATAACAAATTCAACTCATACAACAACAATTTATCAGAAAAACAAATAGAATTTTGAGTATTGTTGTCACAAAGATAATTCTATTGACTTTCGAAACGAATGAATAAACGAATCAACGATATGACAACACGAAGCAATGGGGATGAGAGATTTTTGTATTCAAATGCCATATGAAATATCTGGCATATGACGGTCATGCGGCGGCTGTTGCTGGATATGAGGCAAAAAATACGTGTAGTCGCGTTATCACGTATATTTTCAAATGAGAAGCCGGGAGAAATTATTCTTGAATTTATTGTCCTTTGGCTAGGCAAGTTTAAAGCTCTTCTCCATCCACGGTATTTGTTGCTGCATGATACCTACTTTGTCCATCGAACCTACCCTGCAGATTATTGTTCAAAGGCGATTGTTTCATTACAAATACCCTG